AGCCTTCTTCAGATTTATTTGTAACTATTCTTGAAAAAAATTCACCATCTCCCTAGATAATATTTGCTTAGTTCTTTATAAATATGATATGTGTGTTTCATGTCATATCTTTAGCTATCAGTGGTTGACACAAGCTTGGAAAAAAGTGAGATAGATAGATACGAACTTAAGAGGTAGTTAGACAAATAGAAATCTATCTGTGAAGTCACAGAGAAGCACAGTAGAAAAAAAAGAAAAGTTATTTTCATGATGCAAATGCAATGTAATCATTAATGTAGTTTGGATTTTATTATTAATCCCTGACTAAATTTTTTAATTCTTTGAGTAATATGCATGGGATGTATTGTTTAACCAAGAATATAATTTGTGAAGTTTTAAATAGCTAAATGGAATATTGGAGAGGAAGCCATTTGTTAAATTCAAGAAATCATGGTTAAGCACTGATCATGTTAAGCACTGGTTTTAATTGGCTTTATGTTATACTTTTATCCCATATTTTTTCTCCATTAGCATATGAAAATTGCTTAGAAATGTTTTTCAGCTTCAGGTCTATTAGGACCAGATACTCTCAGACATTTATCTACCTCCTTGAGATGTTTCTGGAATCTAGTAAATGTCACATAATAAATCCCTTGGGCATTTTATATGTGCTGGGATGAAAGTTTTAGTCTCCTGCTTGCCTGTGTTGTGGCTTCTTTTTCTTTTGTGACCCTTTGCAAGTCACTTGTTTTTCTTTCCTGCCTATCTGTTGTCTATTTCCTAATGATCACTAGTTCTAGATGTCATATTTTCTAAATGCACTGCTATTCACCGTCTGTAGCTTTTCAACCTCTGCTTAAGATTTTCAATTTGAATATTTTCCTTGGATAAATTTAAAAATTTGACCATATACCCAGGAATGCCTGTTGCTTCTCATCTATTGACTATGGAATGCTAAATAAAGCTAGACATGGGGATTGTAGAGCTAGAAGGAACCATAGAGGTCGTCCCCAGTGGCTTTCCAGAGTGCTATGTGGAGCTCCTTCATAATTCAGATGTCTGAGTTTAACATCAGATGATGGGCTATTCGGATATAAACTCCTGGGTAAGAACCCTACCACTCCAATTTTATGTTTGAAGAAACAAAGATCCAGAAATTAAGTTACTTCCTCAAACTGTTTTCTAATGAACAGCAAAGTGAGAAGTATATCCAGATCTCCTTGGAGGACCAACTCTTTCCACTTTCTCAAGTATGGTAAATCTGGGAACTTCCATTTTCTTTCCTAAAGAATGAAAAGCACTGTGTCTTACAGAAGGAACTGTCTGCACTGTGCTTCATGCCAGAATTTCTGTAAAGAAGTGCCAGGGTGGTTCTCCTTTCCTTCTTTCTCTTTTCTTTCTTTCCTTTTCTCTCCCTGTTTGCTTTCTTTCCTTTCCTTTTCCTTTCCTACCCTTTCCCTTTCCTTTCTCTCTCTTTTCTTTCTCTGTGTCTTTCCCCTCCTCTCCCCTTCATTTTCTGTTCTTTCTCTCTTCTTTTCTTCTTTTAACTTCTGAACATTAGAAAATTCATTTCTTAGTCTCAAACCCACTACTGGATTGGATATTGATTAGTTTTGTGTTGATCTTTTTGTTTACCTGCATTTCCAAAAATACTGCAAAAGACTCCATACAGTGTTGTTGTTTTTCATAATATAAGATATTTTCAGAAATCTAAAAGCTTGCCCTCCTTGTTTACCTTTAGAAATTTTCTAGGATATTTATTCTATAATAATTGTCCACTTTTGTCTTTGATCCACAGAATTTGAGAGAAAAATACAAACTCTAATCTGATTCTTAAGCGGATTTATATTTGGAAACAATTTAAAAGGCCAGACAACAATGTGTTGGTTTAAAATAATGCATTGCAAATATCAGACAATAAAGAAAAATGCAACTTGTAAGGCAATTTCATAAATAAGTGGTTTCTTAAAAACAAGTAAAGTTGATGAAGGTTTGACTTCTACTAGAGAAACTATATACTTTTATAATAATGTCACAGAATGTGAAGCTTTCTCATGTGAGATTGGTTATTATAAGACTAAGGTAGAACTTAGGATAATAGAAGTTTGGCTGATATTTGCTCTTGGAGATAAGTTGTTGACATCCATACAGTGAAGAGACTATTGTCCTTAGCACCCTCATATTGGTTAGTAAGTATGAAGTTAGTTATACTCTTCCCAAACTGTGCTACAGAAATAAATATACTTCCCCCTAACAAATAATAAATCTATCTTTTCGTAGTGATGATTTTATTTTAGGTTTGTCTGTTTAGTTATTACAAATTCCCTGAGGACAGTTGAAGTACTTGACAGGTCATCTCAGTCATGGTTTCAAACACACACCTATTTTGCTTTTTTAGCTAACAAGTCACCACTCCTGGGTCCACCTTAGTATTGTTGATTTATTTCAAAGTTCTGCCTTCTCTAAAAAGTTTCCTTCAGCACATGGTAAAATCTGGGTTACGCTCATTGTGTTCTACATTTGAATACTTGAAGAGGAGTTGCGCTTTTGAGTTGTAAGCATTTTATGCTTTGTGTCTATGATCCTTGTGAGGTCTTCAAGTCTATCTGCAGCTTTTAAACCATTCAAAATATTCTGGGTAGAAGTAATTGTATTTAGGGGTTATGAAACAAAAATCCATAGCATCCTTCGGCTTCTTGATTCCGTGTTTGTACCACTTCAGTCAATTTATTAAGAAATGGTCTTTCCTAACTCCCTTGTGTATAGCTTGAGTCATCCACTGCCATATAATTCCTTTCTAAATACTTAAGGACCATAATTACAATTCGCTTTGAGTACAACAGGACATTTCTGCCATGTAGTGGTGTCTGCTGTAACATAGAAATTAGTAGTTCCATTGGCTTAGAAACAAAGGCAGACAGAACCTTACATTCTTATGTATTATTGTAAATGGTATTAGGTTTCCCTGGAATATCCACTTCTATTTAAAAGCAAAACAAAACAAAAAAAGAAACATAGTCTATGAATATTTGATGAAAAAACTGGTTTTGTGTTCATGTTGGAGCACAATGTAAATTTTTGTAGAGTTAATCAACATGAACATAACTCTTGTAGTAAAACACTCCAGGATAGTTATGGCTGTTATTGTGTTTGTGCATGCATGCACGTGCATGTGTGTGTATTCCAATCAATGTTCATGTATTGGTATATTATTGCCGAATTCAGTAGTTTTATACTTATTCTTGATCTCACCTTTTGCTAATGTCCTTCTAAAATGGCATAGTTTTTTTTTAACATGTTGTTATTATATCTCTTTCAATGATTCCTGAATTGGTAGTTAAGATTTGCAACAACTGAGGCCCCCACTCTGGAGAAAGCCGGGGAAATTTACTAATGACCCTGAGACTACCAGCTCAGGACTTAAATAGCTGAAGAACAAAAGCTCCTTCATTTTCCTCACTGGATTAAATATTTTGATATCTTTTGTTATAGGAACCAGAATGATCTTTCTAAAGGGTTCTTAATTCCGGCTACACATTAGAATCATTTTGGGAGCTTTTAAAAAAAATAGTTACTCATGCCACACTTCCACCAGTGAAATCAGAATCTCTGAGGGTGGGAGTTACTGTTTGAGTTCCCCAGGTGCTTTGTATGCCTCTGGAGTTGAGGACCACTTATGTAACTAGCGTAAGTTAGCACATCATTCTTTAATTTTAACCCTGGTTGCTAACAAGGTGTAGTAGTCCCACCTACTGAGCGTTTCTTGTGTTTCCGAAGCTTGTCATCACATTTCATTTTGTGTTTGCAACTCATTCATATGGATATTTTCTCTCTTCACGTACAGCTTTGTGTCGCTCATAGTTTCCCCTTAGAAACCACAAATCTCTTTGTGGAAGAGGACAAGTAAGATGCTTACTTCCTTTTTTTGTTTTTGTTTTGTTGTTGTTAAGGTTGTGTGGAAGAAACTTGGAGATGCTGCAGGTTCATGTCCTGGAATTAGGCAACATTTGTCAGGAAACCAGTACAAAGGACCAATGTGAGAATCATTGTTTTCAAACATGAGATCACTACTGCCAGAAAGAGACAAAAGGAAAGAAGAAGAAGAAGAAAAGAGTGGGTTTCTGCAAACCTGGACTTATGGAATAACATGGAGTGATTGTACATTGCACATATCTCCTCTCTAAAACCTTCAGTCCAACTTCCCCTCTCAAGCTAATATTCTGTGTCTCTCACTTCAATATCCACAACAGTCAATCTCAAACAAGATAGCTTTGAAAATCATCATTTTGGTACCAGTATTTTCATTAGAACTAAAATGTTTTTACTCCCCAGATCTAATATTGTAATTGGCAAATCTGCATAGTTGGAAGAATCCAGTGGAACTTCAGTGGTTTTGATAGAGTTGGCCCATTGCATAAAATGGTGGGTGTTTTCTACCATGTTGTATTGAAGTTATGAAGAGGTGTTTTCAGGTTTCCCAAGTCTGAGAGTTGGGCTCCTACCTCTTATACTTTGGTCAACAAAATACTAGTTCCTGATGCATAATTAATTTGGATGCAAGATAAGATTATACTTCTGGGGTTTTGTTTTGACTTTTGAGGTGCTAAAAATACCACATAAATTCTCCCTACCAGATAGAAGGATAGCGAGACTTTGTAGAGTGCTTATCAGAGAGTACCATTTATTTCAACTGATCAAAATAAATATATCTTTTCTTTTGATCTTGATGAGTTTCTCATAAAGATGCATCTTGGGGACATACCAACTTTCATATTCATTCAGTGTATCCATTGATATTAATATTAACAATTTCATCTAAAAAACAATTTTTCTAGATGTTTCGAGCTGTGAAATGTCAATTTCTACAATTTAGTTTCTAGACATGCTGTATATTTAATAAACTTTATGTAAACTTTAAAATATTGCACTGCATTTATGAAAAAAGCTCTCTTTGCCTCCTGCAGCTATCTAATGTTTTATGAAACTGACGCATGTCCTTCATTATTGAGACTAAAAGCTCTCGTTCGGATTGCTTGAGGTTTGAAAAAGAGGTGTGCTAGCTTTGCTTAATTTATTTCTTATTTTTGCTATATATATACATATATATAAAAAATATTAGAATGTGTGTATTGGAAATGCTATGATAGGTATTTTGTGTTTATCCAAATACAATGATAGTTTCTTGTATGAATGTGCAAGAGGCCTCTGGCAGAATGCTACGTTTTTACTGTAGTTTAAGATTATAAAAGTGGGAATGCAACAATTTTCAGTTTTTGGATATGTTCTAAATTATCGAGATTTGATTCATAGCAGATATTCTCTGTTGTTGTTTTTAAATGGGCTCATTACACAATGTATTAATTGTCACTGGTGAGGGAATGTGAAGAAATTTTGTTACACTTTTAAAAATGTTACTGGTATGAAAAACCAGCCCTCTATTTTCAGAAAATATTTATGAATTAATTTACTATAGAATTATCTCTCTAATTATTGTAACTAGGTTACAGATTAAGCATCTCTTTCTTTTAAAATGTTATATTTTTAAATATTATTACTCTGTAAGAAAAAATTGCTTGCTATATTTACCCTCTCTCCTAGGAAAGCTTTCATCTTTAAATTGTTGCATTCCTACACTCTGAAGATATTTAAAACAAGTTTTTGTGCCTGCAGCAGAGCCTGCAGAAGCTAATACAAGGGACACTGGTGTTTTGACAAAATACTTGTGTAAATTTTGATACTGTATTAAAACTATTTTTTTAAAGTTCTGCATAAAATCGAGTATTAAGTATATGTGTTCATCTTAGCAATGGTAATAAATTATTTAATCTCACAGTGTTTTTGTCTTCTTCAAAATGTTTTCCTAAATTGAGTAGATTTATTAGTCACTAAATATCATAATGCTACTTCATGATGATGATAATAATACAGATGATTCATTATCTTAAACATAAAACAAAGGCATATTTGTAAATGTTCATAAGGAGGGATTAAATATTAAGAAATTCCTCAATTTGCACCATTCTCTATTAAAATCTAGTTAAAAATTTAGAATAATATTTTAAAATATTTTAAAATTAGCTTCTGCTATAAAGTCTTCTTTTAGTCTTTTATATAGATTAAAATTAAACTTAATTATTATCAATTTATTGTTAAAACAGTCTTGAGAAGGAAATGTACTGGAGGGGAAACACTACAGAAATGGAAAACTAGGCCTCTGTATTTAAGAAACTTATACATTATTGGAAAAGGTGTAACATACACATATAACCAAGAAATAAATAGGAACACACACACATGCTCAGAGCACCCACATACTTCCTGGAAGTCACTAGTAAGATTGTAGAATAAAGCTTTATACACTTAGCATTAACCTCACCTTTAAATGATAAAGGAGATGGACACCCCAGTGCTTGAATCTTGCTATTGCTTAATACATTTATCAATCAAAATGAGTGACCCCCCCATTACCTTGTGTGACCAGATTATTAGTTTATGATCTTATCTTCCCTGGGATAAAGGTTCATTTATATATCTTGGCAGAGTATTTTTTTCCTTCCTTGAAGTAGATAGATTGGTAATCAGAATCTAACCTTTTAAATGAATGCCTTTCAAGTTCCTAGCACATGCTTAAGGCATTGTAGAAAATTCAGATCATCTTATGTGACATCCAGTAAAATACTGACAGTATAATTGGGATGATTGTTCTTTAGTTCTTTAGTGAACACTTAATGAATGCCTACCACTGTCATGTGAGTAAACACAGCTTTGGTTCCTGACTCACTGTGCTGACTACTCTCAAGAAATACATGGGATGGTAGTATCTGGGATGCCAGCTGGAGCTTCCTTTATCCTCGAGATCTAGACAGGATTGAGATCAAACATCCATTTTCTTGATCTGAGGAAGCAGTAGCCTCATAATGATTTCCACTAATTTCCAGAGTTTTTACTCTGTGGCAAGCTTCTTGTTGCCTCATCACCCCTCTATCTCAGGGGCAAACTGATTTCTCCATCAGAAACTTTGGAATCCATTTCTGGGGAAGTATCTGCCTACCTCAAACTGGATTATCAAGGTACATTTCCAACAAACTCAAGGCACCTCTATGAGGAATTTATAAGCATTTGGCTTATAAAGAATAAAAACTTCTCCATCCCGTTACACGATAAAAGACAAAGGAGGCTGAGGCGGGTGGATTGATTGAGCTCAGGAGTTCGAGACCAGCCTGAGCAGGAGCGAGATCTGTCTCTACTAAAAATAGAAAGAAATTAGCTGGACAACTAAAAATATATAGAAAAAAATTAGCTGGGCATGGTGGCACATGCCTGTAGTCCCAGCTACTCGGAAGGCTGAGATAGGAGCATTGCTTGAGCCCAGGAGTTTGAGGTTGCTGTGAGCTAGGATGACACCACGGCACTCTAGCCTGGGCAACAGAGTGAGACTGTCTCAAAAAAAAAAAAAGTATATTAGGTTGAACCATATGAAATTGCCAATATTTGACCATCTTTGGACTATAAAAACAGTGATTTCACATAGATTAACCTCATATGATGAAGAAGTTTTTTTGGTGGAAATTAGTAAATAAAGTAGGAATTAGAGAAGAGAGAGCCATGACATTGGGCTGGAGCTATCTCAAAGTATTCTGTATTAAGTGCAGCACTGAATAAAGAACATTTGACTCTAGGGAGGCAGACTTTGGGCAAGCAAGTTGAGCATTTAAACTCTTGAATTAACTCTGCGAGTTGGAACAACTTCACTGAGCCTCAGTTTCTTCACATGCTGAATGGAGATAACATCTATATTGCTGAGTTGTCGTGAGATTCTTATTACCTCCTTAATTTCAAAGTTCAGTGGTCTTGACAGTGCATGAAAAATGATAGCAAGTCTTTCAAAACAGGAATCTAGACCCTGTGGGCTACGGCAATTTATACCATTAGGATTGGAAAGAGAAACCACATTAATGTTGAATGCTCTGTCCACTACCATGTAAAGAAGTCTGGCTGCACAGTTGCATATTAGCAAGCTCTGTTCTTTATGCATCATCCAGCCTTCATAGGCCTTGACATGGCCAATCACACATGGGGATTGTGTGGATGAAGGAAAAAAAGGGACATTGGTCTAATTCGCACATACCAACAGTATGTTTTAGAAACAAAATTTCCACAACTATTTAATTCTGTATTTGTTTCTTCATGTCACTGAGAAAACAGGAGCATAAAGACTTCTCTTTCAAAATGGCAGAATGAGTACTTGCTGCAGCTTTCTCGTCTTGCCTCAAACACTAAAAATGGCTTAAAAGTTATTTTAATAAATCCGTAATCCTACTAGACCATAAGAAATAAATAGTGTGCTCCATGGGCCAGTAGTTATGATGAATTCTGGAAAGAAGGAGACAAACAGTATCTGAATGAAGAGCGAATCCATAATTCAAAGTACACAGTGCAGGATATTGTTGAAAAAGGAGGCTGCAAGGATGTTCCAAACAAGGAAGAGTTTGACACATGCACTGTGTGGACTCCTGGGATAACTGAGAACAGCCAGGCATTTTGACTCTTGCATAAAACCACTCCTTCCTTGGGTCAGGAAGAGAACAATAAAGATCATTTCTCCCAGGCCTGAGCGGAGAGTGAGGGCATTTGAATTGGAAAAGCAGGGCAAAGTCCTTAAAGTTGGTAATACCTAGGGGGAAATGGATCCCCTGTGCCCAGATCATTAGCTGCTGGCACAGCCTGCCAGAAAGTTTGTCCCACCATCTCTTTTACATTTAAAGAGGCTTTAAGTATCCCCCAAGACCAGTAGCCTGGCCTCTTTCTCCTACAAACAAGTTGTAGAATAAACACAGCAGACTAATAAGGAATTTTTGATAGTTCGGTGAGTATACAACTGAGAACCACCCAACATTGGAGGAAAGCCATGATCATGAATCAGAAGCACAAAACTCAACAAAGAAGAGAATATATGCCAAGGAAAAGAATTAAAATCAAGAGGACTTCAGAAGTATAGACAATATTCTCAGAAAGGTGGCAAATATTGCATTCATTAAAA